CGATAGCTTCCCTGACGGGCCTTTTCGATGCCCTAACTCAACACCCTCATTTCGCAGATGCAGACAGGGAGGCCTGGGGAGAGGGGAAAACTTCTCCGGGTGCCAAAGACGAGTAAACCGCAGAGCGAAAGCAGACCTCAGGTGTGCGCTGCTGCTTCACAGTTCCTTGGGCTGGGCACTGAGATCCTTAGAGGCCCTGGGGCTGGCTTGTGGGAATAAGAAAATTCCTGACACCCAGTGGGTGCTTTACCGCCAAGGGCATTTCGGTGCGGGATCAGCAGGGTCCAGAACTAGTCTGAAGGGTCGTGTATCTTCTGCTTGGGATCAAGGATCAGGGGTGGCAGTGGCTGATCAGGACCTGTGGGCTGGCTGTGACGTCAGCACACCTGCCTGCCTGTTGGAGGGTTCAGTCCTGCCTGCACCTGGCCAGGGGGCGTGACTCCTTGGCAGGCAGTTGAGGCGTGTAAGGAGGAGAGTCCAGTGGAGTCAGGGGCTGCCTTGCCCCCTTGGTCTAGGACCACTGGCTAGCTACAGATGCTCCAAATGCTGCCTACCAGGAGCGGGATTCAGCCGGGGTCTCGAGGACCTACCTAGAGATGGAACTGAGCTTTTCTCCCCCAAACCTGGGAGTCCAGAGGAGAGGAGAAGGGACCGTCCTCTCACAGGTGAGCTGTGAGCCATTAGCGCTCCTCCTCCCCGCTGGCTCAGACCTGGCCCTGTTCCCTGCAGAATCTCACTCAGGTCCCTGGGGCTGCTCTCAGCACAGGGTCTGGTCCCAGCAGCGCTGCCCCCTTCCTCCTCCTGTGACCCTGTTGCCCAAGCCCGGAGGCTCATCTGTAATGTGGGGGCACAAATATAACGGTGACAGTGCCCCTGCCTGGCACAGTTGCTCTCAGGAGTAGAAGAGAAAATGATGCGCAATTTGTCCTTATGTCTGAAATTCAAGTTCGCGTCTTAAGAGTAAACTGAAATGGGCAAGAGACCAAAGAGCATTTCCCCTTATCAGGTGAGGGAGGGCCTCCTTGATGCTTTTCGCTGTACAAGTTAACGATGGTTTCCAAATCTCAGAAAGTAAATTCCCCGGGTTGCCAGTGCTTTGAATTCCCTGAGGTGCCAGGAAATGCCCGGTTCCGCCAGGTGTTTGCTGCCCCCTGCTGGCTGAAATCTGGTTCTGCACGCCCCCTCCAGATGGGAACCAGGCTGATACTGCGTTTTGGTGACAGCTTAAGGCTGTGTTAGCCCCCTCTCCTGTCTCTAAAAACACACATAGAGCTGAAAGGGACTTGGGTCTGCAGCCCCAGTCTCTCCCCTAACTCCAGGCTTGAATTTCGCTCAGCCTGCTGAATAGTTCCCCTTGGACCTCAAACAACAGGTCCACAAACGTGGTTTATCTTTGCAGTCCTGCTGGCTCCCCTGCATCCACTGACATCTGTGAACAGTACATTGTCCACCCTGTCACCCATCCCCTGACGACCCTCCAGATGCTCCTCTTGCTCGACCTCCACACCCCATTATTTGCAAGCCCTGCTGAGACCTCCGGGAGGATTCTCTCAGGGGACCCTTGTCATCTCTGCAGTTCAGCCCTCATCCTCTGTCATCAGCCCGTGACAACAGCTTCCTGACTGCTGTCCTGTCAGAGAGCGGTCTTTATAGATACAGATGACGAGGATATGGATATAGACGGTGATAAAGCTGTAGATATGGATGATGCAGATTTGGACCTGGAAATAGACATGATGATACAGGGACGGATGTGGACACGGCTATATATGCAGTAGGCATAAATTTGGAGACGGAGATAAAGACTTTCTGCAAAATAAAGTCCAAACTCTTTCTGGGCTTACAAAACGCTTCATATTCCACACCAGCCAGTCTCTCCAGGTTCATCCTATGTCACTTGCCTTTCATTCCGGCCACAGGGCAATTGCTTGTCTCTGAACTTGTTTTCATCCATTCTCGAAACACAGTTTCTTACTAAATGCCAGGCTTTGAGATAGTCCCTGGGATACAGAGGAACAGGATAGTTCATTCTCAGGGAGTGGCGTCCCATGGACCAAACACACAAGCGCAGCCCAGACATCATCTGATGAACAGGAGGCAAGGTGCACTTGGCATGGGTTCTCATCCCGCACTGCTCACTTTCTGTTGCTCCGTAACACATTGCCACTAACTTAGCGGCTTATAACGACACATGTTAATCGTCACACAGTCTCCGTGTGTTAGGAGTCTGGGCGTGACTTAACTGGGCCCTCTCTATGGGGTCTCACAAAGCAGCAGTCCAGGCATGGGTGGGCTGCGTTACTTTCTGGAGCTTGGAAGTTCTCCTCCAAGCTCACCTGATCTTTAGTCCTTACGGTTGTAGGACTGAGGTCTCGCTTTGATGCTGGTTCTTAAGTTTCACACAGGGCTGCTTTCAGGTCCTAGAAGCCACCACAGTTTCTTGCCTTGTGGCCCCTACAGACCCTTCACAAAGCGGCAGCTCATGTCAAGGCCAACAGGAGATTCTTGCTCCAGTCTGCTAAGATGCGGTCTTATCTAAAGGAACCTAAGCACAGACAAATGCATCCCATTACCTTTGCTGCGTAATGAAACCTGATCAAAGGAGTGACGCCCCATCCCCTCTGCCACAGTCCCTTGTTAGAACCAAGTCGAAGGTTTGGCCTGCACTCGAGGAAGGGGATTACACAAGGGCATGGCTCGTTGGGGTCACCTTGTGGCATGGACACCATCGATCGACACACCTCGTAGGTTCTTCCCAAGATCCACATTCATTCCAAGCACAGGAGTGTGGGTAGAGTCTTAGGGTCTGGCTATGGATTCTTGTTCCCCCTGAAGTAGTTCAACTGTGGGACTTCAAGCTATCCTTCTCCTCACACAGTGCCACCCCCAAGCTCCAGCCCCATGTTCAATGCCACTAAAGACATAAAAGGAGGAAGAGAATTCCAATCTAGGTCTTATCTCCAGAGCCTGTGAGTGAATAAAATCGAGTCTTGAGAGACCTAGACTGTGGATCTGCAGAATCTTCCAAGAGCACAGGGTCTGTCCAGCCAGTGATGAGTGTGCATCTGGGTGAGCACCAAGGTGTCGTTTGCATGATCCTAAACACTGGACCAAAGGCTCTCTCCCCATCTGTCGTCTCCTGTCTTCATGATAGCTGTGATCTCTAGGCAGATTTGTTTTCCCCAATCTGTGGATGTGACCATCAGGGTTCCCAGAGTCCACTCAAGATCACGTACCAGAGCCTCCTTTCCAGTGCATGTCCAAACTCTGGTCTCTTTACTGACGACACAGTTATCCTAATGGTAATGATTCCTTCTGATGAATTTCTTCATCTCACCACAGTGGAAGTGATCATGTCTACCGTGGGGGGTGGTTGCGAGGATAAATGAGCTGATAGACGTGAAGTGGTGGGTGGTAAGTGCTCACTGGAGGGCGGTGGTGGGTGTTGATGCGACCATCACCATCGTCACCTGAGAAGATCTGCGATGCAGAGTAGGCGGATTCTAGACACGGGTCCGCAGTCTTGAATTTCAAGTAAAACAGCCAAACACAGGAGGGAACTGAAAATCTCGTTCAGGGTCCTAAGCAGCGTTGGAAACATAGATTCCAGTCGGCAGATTAGCAGGGTTGTGGATTGGATACTGTGATCAGGATCACCAAGGGTCTAAGCCAGAACGCAGGTCCAAGCCAAGGCCAGGAGCACACATTTCCAAACCTCCTTCCATCACGGTCCTTACCATCCCACCATGGGATCGCTTTCTGTTTGTCTGGACTGTGACATGTGAGCTCAGGACAGATCCAGCTTATTCATCACTGAATTCCAGCTCTGTGTTCCCCAGTGCCTGCCACATAAATAGTGGATGAATGAATGAATGAATGGGGTGGGGAGGGTACATCTCAGTGGTAGAGCGTTTCCTTAGCATGCACGAGGTCCTGGATTCAATCCCCAGTACTTCCATTAAAAGATAAATTTATAAAACTAATTACACCCTAAAAAAACAAACAAAAAATGAATGAATGAATGAATGCACAAGTGGGTACAAGCCAAAAAAGCATGGATTGGTGGCTAGCAGGGCACAGAGCCGGAATACATAGAGCAAGAAAGCTTGGAGGGTGTGGTACCAAGCTCCTGCATGGATCCTGTCTTGTAATTTCCCTCTTAAGACACCCAGGTAACCTGGTGCTGACCACTGAACCAAAGACCCTCCACCAAGAGGGAGAGAGAACCTCTTTGCTGAAACAATGACCCACACACATGCACACTCTCCCTCCACCCCACCCCCAGGGAGTTTATAAATATAACCATCTCAAAGGATTGTTTGCAGATGGCTTCTGCCGGAGGCCGGGGCATGAACCTGGTGACCTTTCAGTGACTTTTCCGAGACCAGCATTCTGCACGTGGTGGCTTCTGCTCTTCCTAGCGTGAAACACGCTTGGTAATTTCAAAAACAATTCTGAAGGCCCTCGATGGAAAGAGGTTGTTTCCTTCAGTAAGTATTGATTGTAGAAAGAATGACACTCAGATGTGGTGATAGAGGCCTTTGCTGAATTTATCGGTCTTTGGGTGAATGTGCCTTCATGCTAAGAATGTTTTCATACATTTGGAAATCATAGTCCTATATATGCAGGACATGTCATTCATGTTTTCAGATCCCTGTTGATTTCCAAGGCTTGCGGTAACTTTTGTTTTCCAAGGCGTCTGCAGCCCTCTAGGGCTGGGACCAGATGATCTACTTCGAATTGCACTGTTTCCACCAACTAGCCAATAAAGCAAAAGTTCTGCTCGTTGCTTAACTTCCGTCAGCCCTGTTTCCGTTAACTGGAGCAACAGTTCCTGCCTGCCTTGCAGGTGCGTTACGCGGTTAACCGGGATAACATACAAAGCACCCAGCAGTGTCCACTGGATGTTGCAGCTTCAGCCCGGCTGTTACCGTCCCTGCCTGGCCTCGGAGCAAGCCAGGGCTAGACACCTCCTTAGTGTCTTCTTCCTTCCCTCCTAGGTTCCTGATTGTCCTGGGGTGCTTGATTCTGGCCGTCCTGACCACCTTCAGGGAGTACGAGACTGTTTCAGGAGACTGGCTTCTGCTGCTGGTGAGATGGGCACCTTCTGGGGCAGACGCCTCTGGTGGGACCTCTAGGGTCTGCCGGGCACGGGCGGAGTGAGGAATAGTGTTTGTTATTCCAGGTTAGGATGAGGGAGCGTGAGGAAGCCAAAGCCAAGTCCACTGCCCGTTGGTTAGATTATAAAACACGGCTTCCTAACCCTCTGACAGTAACACAAAGGCATGTTTCACTCTAACCTCTGCCTCTGCTTTTCCTCCCTAAACCCCGAGGCTCTCTTCTTTCGAGGCCGAGTACCAAATCCCATTTCTACTGGAAAACTCCAGGCCCTCGTCTTCGGTCTCTGCCTGGTTTTGCTCCCCACCCTGTATCCGGTGGTGCAGTGGAGAGAGCGTGCAGTGAGCATTCTTGGGCAAGTTACCTAACACGCGTGACTTAGTTTCATCACATCCTCCCCGAAAACCTGTAAAAATGTAAGGTGAGGAGCACAGGCTGATGGGCTGGGTGCAGCCTCAGCGCCCCGCCAAGAGGAGGCTCCCGGGAAGGGCTGGTTCCTTCTGCAGCCCTGGACAGCACTGGTCACTGGCCCTTTGACTGACCACGCCCCCGCTGGAGTAGGATCCGCCCACCTCTTCACAGGAGGCCCCGCCCCCTGCACAGGGAAAGGGTGCCAGACCCTCAGTAAAGGTTCACGAAATAGCAGAACCTTCTCCTCCCACCGAGCGTCCCATCTGTGGTGCTGGAATCAGCAGGTTCCTTCTGAGGGCGGGTCTGGAGCCAGACCTGAGCAGGTGACTCCCGGGAAGCCATCCAGTTAAACCTAGCCTGGGAGCCAAGTTTCAAGCATTGCAGTGGAGCAGCATCTCCCCAGGGTGGTCACCAAACAGAGGGGGCGAATGTGTCCATGTCTGATCAGTGAGGGAGACACGGGTGGGGGAGCAGACCCGGTGCCCCGGAGGCAACATAGCATGGTGCTGACAGGCTCAGGCCTGGGACCTGTTCCCATGGCCGGGATGCTTTCTTTGCCACTTTGTAGCCTTGAGAAATTTGTTCAGCCACTCCTTGCCTGGCCTTGGTTTCTCCAAATGGAAGATAAGAGTAATACTATAAAACACTTCCGGCGATGCCTGGCCTGGGAGCTGTGCTCAGCAACCATCGGCCACAATTAGCAATACCAGGGGCCAGACACCGGGTGGACGATTTTTTTGATGCCTCTCCTTTCAACCCAACTTCACTTCTTAGGGGCTTCTAGTACATTAAAGAGATTTTTTTAAACGATCCATTAGAATAAAAACATAGGGGAGAAAAAAACAAAGGACAGGTAATCACCTTGCAGGGCTTAACATTAGGGGCAGTTAGCCCATCAGAGTGGAGACAGGAGCTGTCCAGAACGGAATGGAGGTGGCAGCCTGTCCCTCTGCCCCCTCCACCACCAGGACAGTGACAACAGCAAGCCAGCTCTTCAAGAACTTCGAAACAGAAACCGCGCGTTCTGGACAACTGGGTCCCGGTTAATCCGTGTTTCTCCATATGTTCTTCAACGCAGGAAACATTTGCTATTTTCATCTTCGGAGCCGAGTTTGCTTTGAGGATCTGGGCTGCCGGATGTTGCTGCCGATACAAAGGCTGGCGGGGACGACTGAAGTTTGCCAGAAAGCCCTTGTGCATGTTGGGTAAGCCCTGACCCCAAGCCCAGTGGTGCCCCGTCCCCTTCTTTTGGTGCATTATTTCTTCGAGGCAATTTTAAGCAGACACTGTTCTTCTGGGAAAGCATGCAGCACGGTGGGGGCCAGCCCAGCCTCTGACCCTCCCTTCCGTCTTCCAGGTGCTGAATTCCCCCTTCCATCCCCGACCGTGACTTCTCCTCCTCATAATGACCCCACAGGGCAGTGATTCTTAATTGGGGGTGGAGGAGGCACTCTTGGCATTTGGGTTGCAAAGGAGCCAGCTCATTGCAGGATGTTAAGTATCCCCATTCCCTGGACTTAGTGGCACCCCAGTCATTGTGACAGCCAGAATTGCCCATACAGTTCCAGACTGGCTGCGGTGGGAGCGGGAGGCATGACACTGTTGCTGGTTGAGAATTACCTCTGTAGGACCACATTATGCCCATTTTACAGAGATGGGAACTGAGGCTCACAGAGCTGAGTCATTTTCCAGTCACACAGGTCATCTGCAGCAGATTCCATCCTAACACCCAGGTCTGGAAGAACCTAGCACTTGTGGCCCCCCTCCCTCGCCACCACATTGTTGTGTCCTGACTCAAAAGTTACTTTGAGAAGATGTCACGGAGACCCCCCTCCATCCAGTTATAGGCATTTTGATAGCAGAGAAAGTGGAGGTGGAAGCCTTCATACACCCCTTTTGGTGCAAGATGGACCCCCTACTTTCCCATCTGAAGATCCAACTGAAATGATTCCAAGACAGGACAAAATCTGCCTGTAGTGATGGTTAGGAGTCTTGGCGTTTCAAACTCCTAGGGATGGTTAAAGTTAGAGGATCATAAATGTCATGGCTGGAAGGGCCCCTCAGAAGCGTTTGGTTACACATGCCCTCCTGTCTGAAGCTCCAGCTCTTTTCACAGCAGCCTTCAAGTGGTCCCCCAGACTCTGCTTGCTTACCTCCGGTCACAGGGTGCTCACCACCTCTAACAGTATTCATTTCATCTTAATTTTCTGACTTTCTTCCGATACTTGGGTTCAGCCATTCTGTCCTTCCTCTTGAGTCCAGCAGAGTCTCCTTTCATCAGGAAGAATGTGCTGAGTGGCTTCATCTGCACCCTTATCCCACGTTCTCAGCATCATAGTCCCTCTCCTCTCAGCTGCTGTGGATTCCTCACTGCCTTTTTGAAAAGTGACACAGCCCAGTGGGCAGAGACGGCCAGCCCGGGAGGAGGGGCTGGACCTCTCCTTTGTCCTAGGTGCCCACATCTCTCCTTGCCAGCTGGGGCTGCACTGCTGTGTTTGCAGGCTGCCTCACACAGAGGACAGGTACCACCCTCCCTGTAGCTGAAGCCTCTCTTGCCTCTCCGCATCTGCTGCTGAGATTGGAAATCTGAGGGTTTTGTTTATTGCTCAGAATTTTGACTGCAAGCAGGGTGTGCATGCAGTTTTGAAGGACTTTTTAGTTACTAATTTGTTTTCATATTTTTTTTCTCTTCCTTTGCCCTCCTTTGCTGTCTACCTGTGTTTTAGTCCATTAGAGCTTCTATAACAAAGTACCACCAACAGGGTAACTTGCGAACAATGGAAATTCATTTCTCACAGTTCTGGGGGCTGGGGGTCCGAGACTGGGGTACCAGCATGGTCACGTTCTGGTGAGAGTCCACTTCCTAGTTCAGAGCCCCTGTCTTCTGGCTGTGTCCTCACACAGAGGAAGGGGCGAGGGAGCTCCATGCCACTTTCAAGAGGGCACTAATCCTATTCCTGAGGGCTCCACCCTTATGACCTGATCACTGCCCAGAGGCCCTGCCCCCAGTACCGTTACCCTGGGGGTTAGGTTCCACACATGAATTTGAAAGACGGAAACATTCAGTCCGTTTCAACCCCCGACTTTCCTTCCCTTCCTCTCCCTTTATCTTCCTTTTAAGTCTTAGGTGGACTTCTTTTTCCTCTTTGGGGGATCCATCCAGTGCTGACCGGAAGTCGTGTGTGTGTGTGTGTGTGTGTTGGCAGGGGTAGGGAGATGACTTTGGGACTGAGGTGCCCAAGTTCAGAGGCTGAGACTAAGAGGACGTCCTAGCACATGGAGCCTGCGCCCCTCCAGAACAGGAGAGTGCCCTGGGGAACAGTCTCCACTACCCTAGGGCTGTAACGGAGCTCCAGATCCCGCTCCCCTGCTGGCCTTCCTGCAGACGCGAGGCAGGGCCTCAGCATCCAGCATCCTCGCTGGCCTCTGTCCTGATGTTGCTGCATTTCCTGTTCTGCTCATTCCAACTTCTCCCCTGACGTGGCCCTTGTGGGAAATGGTGCTTTTCTCTATGTGTTTAACAAAAGGATGGTTGCCATGTCCACAGAAACCATGGCCTCTGTAATTGAGGAAGCCTCAGACCCTGCCATTTTGGGTGTGGACGGGTCCATCTGGGCTGGAACTCGCTGTCCTGTTGGAGTGTCATAGACTTAAGTCACGTTTACCCATGCATCTCGGTTTTGTTTTGTTCTGTTTTCTGCAAACACCGGAAGTGGACAGCTTTACACAGATAGGCTGAGAAGCCTGGCCAAGGATGCCGATGTATTGGGATCCGGATGTCTGAGCTAGCTTTTCCCAGAGGTTCAGCACATCTGGGAGTCACTGTGGTGTGGTAGGAAGGATGCCAGCTTTTTATTGGCAGACGTACCAGGTGTGGACTAAGGGGCCTAATCCAAGCTGGGTGGCCAGCACAAGCAAAGGTGTGGAAGTGTGAGAGCACTGTGGCTGCAGCAAACCACACATGCTTCTAGAAGGTTCCCAAGGCCTGGCTCACAGAGGGTTTTTAGAAGCTAGGACTTTGCCTAGTGGATACCTTCCTTGGAACCCTGATGCTCTTAGAAAAACAAAGCAAAAAACAAACCAAAAAAACCAGTTCTATGGTCAAAATCTTTTGGGAATCTTCATTGTTAAAATGAGAGCCACAGTGCCTATTAGCATGTTAAAGACTCTGAGAATTCCTGCAGTAGCAAAACCTATTTGACTGAATTTTTTTTAAATGTACTTGATCACAGGGTCCTTTTTACTTGCTCACCCAGTGCAATACAGTGGGGAGATAATTGATCTGGGGTTGAGGGGGGTGCAGAGACCAGGGCACCCTTTCTTTATCCTCAGCAATTTAACTTCAGGAGCTAGCTTGGCTCTTTGAGAAGGGCCTCACCCCCTTGGCCTCTCTGCTTCAGTCACAGCTCTGGTAGAAGCTTCTAGGTCATCTCCTGGCAACAGCATCTTATGTTTTTCCACAGTCTACCCCAGGGCCTTCTCTGAAGCTGAGGGAGGTCACCAGGCAGCGCAGCTCAGAAGTGTGGGGGTGTTAACAACCCCATCAACCAGCAGGGGACAGGAGCCAGGAGACAGCTCCCATCTTCAGAGGGTTGATCGTGGGAGGTGCTCTGCCTGCAGCTCCGAGGCTCTAGCAGCAGGCCGGCCTTAATAACGCCCCTTGCACTGGCCTTTTCTCCTCCCCTGCCTCCCACTCCCCTCATTCTGCTTCCTGGGATCACCTCCGATTAAATCACCCACAGCCACATCTCTGTCTCAGGTGCTGTCATCAGGGGAAGCTCGCAGTAAAGCTGTCTGAGCTTCGGGCTTCACCTCCACCACTTGGGCAGCCCTGACTCCCCCTCCGCCAGAGAGGGACCCCCAAGTGCCGCCCTGCAGGGCCTTGGAGCACCTCTTCCCTGGGATTTGGAGTGAGCACTGGAGCCCGGCAGGCTCCCTGCATCCATTCCCAACTCAGCCACATGGCCCTGGGGAGGCATTCAAGCCGAGAGCTCCTTTTCCTCACCTGTCACAAGAGAACACTTACCATGCACGGTTGATGTCATGATTTAACACAGCAGTGCATGGCACTTGTTCGTCTGCCACTAACAGTGTCCGTGGCAGCTCCAGTGCCTTGGCCTGACCTTCTTTCTCATCTCCCTTGCCACCTCTCTGCCCTTTTTCCCAGACATCTTCGTGCTGATTGCCTCCGTGCCCGTGGTTGCCGTGGGAAACCAGGGCAATGTCCTGGCCACGTCCCTGCGCAGCCTGCGCTTCCTGCAGATCCTGCGGATGCTACGCATGGACCGGAGGGGTGGCACCTGGAAGCTCCTGGGCTCGGCCATCTGCGCCCACAGCAAAGTAAGTGGCACGGAGAAGCCGCCAGACCACGCGGGCTACTCACCCACCTGCGCCCGCCCATGGCATCCCCTCCCTGACAGTGTCCCCAGAGGGTGGTCGTCCTGCCCCCACTGATGGGGATGCAGGAGAAGGAAGAGGAGCAGGAAGACAAGGAGAGGCATCCGCAGGTGTGCTGCAGTGAGCAGACACAGGTGGACCTGGGCTCGGGCCCCAGCTCCATCGTATGCAAACAGCTTTGGCCAAGTCACTCACCCCTTTTTGACCTCAGTTTCCTCATTCCGAAAACAGAGATGATACCGCCTGTACCTCTGGCTTGCTAAGAAGGTGAAATGAGCTAGTGCAAATCGGTGTGGGATGGGAGGGAAAGGTTCAGGAGTCACACAGATTGGTTTGAAGCCAAACTCGCTGGGTGTGCCTTTGGAGATTCCCTGTAATGCCTCGGGGTCTTCGTTCCTGCATTTATGAAACAGGAATGATAATGCACTCACCTCACAGGGTGGGAAGCACTTAGAACACACCCAGCTCATGGGTACATTTCAGTTACTGTTACTACGTAGCCAGAAGCACAGTGCCTAGAACTTAGTGTTGGATTCGGACTCACTTACCCCAGGAGTGGGGCACGGTTCTCCGTCCATTCCAGTGATAAGGAAGCAGATAGAGCATGTGAGCTGCCCGGGGTCTTCAGAGTCCATGTGCAGTGGCTTGCTGGTGGCTCCTACTTCTCCCAGGGCGATGAGGAGCTGCGCTGAGTGAGACGTGGTCCGATCCCTCCCGGAGCAGGTGTGGGAACCCGAGCGGGCGGCGTCCAGTGTACCTGGAGCCCCTGTGCTCTGTGCTCCTTTGCCATGGCTAGCCCAAACCTTTGATACCACTTTGTTTTAACATTCCTGCTTTGGCTGGATCTTGGAGAAATGAAGGGAAACCTCTGTGCCCCAGCTCAGGCAGGAAAAACCCCTCAGAGGCCAGTGCAGGAGAAACCAGAGCGAAGGACCCTGGGGGCAGGTGCTCTTCAGCGGATAAAGTCAAAGCTGCCTTCGTCACTAAGAGAGCATCCTCTTGTGCCAAACGTGGTGGGTCCGATGGACACAGTTGATGCCCTGCCCAGGCCCCCTTTACCAGGAGGACGTGCCCAGCCCACGGCTGCTGTGAGAGTTGGCTGCTAGTGTTCCCAGCTGTCCTCCTCTCCGGAGAAGCAGAGAAGAGCTGCCGCGCCCAGGAGCGTGCGTTGCCCCCCTCCACCTCCCCCCACAGCCGGTGACTAATGGACGCCGGCACCTTCCTTGTGTTGGGACCGGCCCTGTGTGCAGTTCACACTCCAGAGCTCCCCGTGGGGTCAGGCTGAAGGAGGCTCCAGCAGAGCCCACATCCTTGCTTAGCTCTCTCTCCTGCCCTGTCTGGTTTCTCTCGTCCCCTCTCTCCTGAGACCCTCCCTCAATCATCAGGTGCAAATCAATCACAGGCACCTAAATCTCTGCCTCAGGCTCTGCATGCGGAGCGAGCCTGGGGCAAGTTGCCCTGGGGAGCCCAGAGTTTTCCTTATGTGTTAACATCGCCAGGTCACCTCCAACCTGCCCCCCCCCCGCAACACCCCCCGCACACAACGCCTGGGTTCTCCCAGCTCAGGTGCACACCCAGATGTGCTGGTGTCTCACACTGAAATGAGTAGGGGCTTAGGAGTCAGACACCGGCTCGGGGCAGATCCCAGCTCTGCCGCCTCCCCGCCGTCAGACGTTAAGAACTGGGCTCTGTTTGTCATGCAAGCTTCCTCAGTGGTTAAGATGTGAATCCTTCCGGCTGCTCACCTGAGAAAGGGCACCGGTCAGTTGCTGGTGACTCATACGTGCTCATTAATGTTGGAGTTTACTATTCCAAACAGGCTCTTCTTCACAAACAGTGCAAGTACATCTATAAGTGAAACGAAATACAGACTGAAAACCCCTGGGAGCCTCTCCCCCGGGACTGCAGTTTCTTACTGGATGTGTGTTTGTCCCCGTCTGGGCCACCTCTGGCCACAGACTTGGGGAGGTCAGGGCTTGCTTTTGAGGGTTCTTTCCTCTGCCTGACCCTCCGTTTTATCTGTTGTCAGAGGACACATTAACAATGCCTAACCTTGTTTCCATGGAGCTGAGCTGATTCACAGCTCTGGTGGAAATCAGGCTAAAAGATGGCTGGTTAAGGTCCTCGTCCTGGGTTCCTTCAGGCTAGAATAGACGAGAGTTGGATGTTTGCCACGTGACTCCTGAAAATGATGGTCCATGCCACCGCCAGACCCTACAACCAAGGCCAGGCGGGCAGGATGTCGAGACAAAATCGCATCTCTGTTGTAGGGACTGAAGGCAGACAAACTGCTTGGCAAGCCCTGTATCCCATCCTTCCCCCAGACAGTCCCCACTCAACGAGCCCTCAGTCTTTCACGGTTCGTAAGCCATGGAGCGACTGCCAAGCTGGCCTGCGCTTCCAGGGCGGGCAGTGTGTTTAGGAGGTAACCCTTTACCGAGTTTGAGTCCAGCGCCCCCATTTCCTGACTGCAGAGCTTGGACCAGTTCCTTCTCTGAGCCCAGTGAATGAGCACTTACCAATTCATTTCTTCGTTCATGCATTCCAAAAACGTTCTCTTGGCCAAGTCCCATGTTGACTGCCCCGGAAACTCAGAGATGGGGAGTGGGGGGCCCCACACAGGGTTACACAGGGTTAGGCTTAAAGTTAACACTCTTATAAGTTAGGATCAGCCAGGCTCTGCTTCCAGAACAAGTAAGTCCTGGAGTCTCCACACTTAGCACAAAGACGTGGATGTCTTCTTGCTCACACAGAATCTGATGTGGGCCGGGTGGCCCTCGTCGGTCTTCAAAGTGAGCCTTGGGTCATCGAGGCAAGGGAAGAGAGGCCTGGAGCGTCCCGCAGAATGGATTTAAGGAAGGGGCAGGAAGTAGCTCCCCTCACTCCCCTATGCTGGCTGGACCCCCATCCCTCAACCCCACCTGGTGGCGGTGGGGCTCAGGCACGTGCAGGAGCCTGGGGCTGTCAGGGAGTGGCCGCAGGCTCTGTCACGGAGCTGCTGCTATTTCCTTCTGGAACCCCTGGCAGGGCAGATGCTCCGGGAGGAGCGTGGCCAGCTGGACTACCTGCAACAGCTCGGCTGACCTCTCTGTGCTGTAAAGTCACGCGAGTGCACTGTGCACATGGGAAAGATCAGACCTATAAGCAGATAAGCATAATGAGGTGTGAGAGATTTAGAGACGTCTGTTTAGAAAATAGTGAAGACCAAAAAAACAAACAAACAAACTGGAAATGAGCCCAACTGGAGGTTGGGGGAACAAACATCCAAAAACTCTCACAGTGGAGGCGACACGGGGCTGTTGACTCAGTGCTCTTTGGTCGGCCCCTTGGGGAGGGGCAGGGAGGGCAGGGGACCAGTGTGAGCAAAAGCACAGAAGGAGGTGAGGCAACCCTGTCAGCGAGATTCTGTGGACCCAGAAGGCCAGCTGACTGGCCGCGGACGCTCGGATAGATGAGCTGTAACGATACAGCTGTTCTCTGTGCTGACTCAGCAGGAAGGACAGGCCTGATCTCCAGATGGTGTCTGCCAGTGACCTTGACTTCCTTCTGCCCAACTTACTGCGGTAACCTTTGGAACTGGAACAGGATGAGAGACGTGGAAAGCACTCCAGGGAGTGTCATGGTCAGCGCGTTTGAACTTCAGTGATTTGCTGGCCTTTGCCATATCTCTGCACATCCTTACCGTTCCCTGACATTTTTCTTTATATCAACTTTCTCTTATTCACTTACTCATATGTTCTAGTCTATCAGATTATAATATCCATGAAATAGGTTTTATGTATAATTTATGCTACTATTTAATATGGTTTAAATCCATAGGTGACTACTTCACATGGAAAAAAAATGCCTATCTGCATTTGAAGTGTCTGTGGCACTTTCTGGAACTCTGTGGTCCAGTCCTTTCATTTAAAAAATGAAGACACTAAGGCTGAGGAGGAGGGATCACTTGCCCAGAGTCACACAGTCAGTTAGCGGCAGGGCTGGGTCCCTGTGCACAGCTCCGTCCACTCTGCCATCGCTGTTGTGGTCCCCGTAGAACTGGGCTTGGTCCTTGCTCTGCCCAGTCCTGCATGGAATAGGGTCTCCTGAGTCCCGAGCCTCATCTCAGAGGCAGTGGCCTGTTCCTCTTACCTTCTCACCTCCCCATGAAGTCTCTTGAATGGTGATATCAAGATCACCCTAAGGCAGAAATCTTCCTCCCACTGAGAGCCACACTCTCATTCTAATAATGATGGAAAAAGAAAGGCCTTATTACTGATCCCGTTTTACAGTGATGGGAGGTGAGGATCAGAGAGGGTGAGTAACTTGCCTGTGTCACAGAGCTGGTAAACCTGGACCCCAGCTCCAGGGTATCTGCCTCCAGCCTCCACCCAACCTCCATCCAGTCTCCACCCAATGACCGAGACCCTGTCCCCTGCTTCCTCTCCCAGGAGCTCATCACCGCCTGGTACATCGGGTTCCTGACGCTCATCCTTTCTTCATTTCTTGTCTACCTGGTTGAGAAAGATGTGCCGGAGGTGGATGCCCAAGGAGAAGAGATGAAAGAGGAATTTGAGACCTATGCAGACGCCCTTTGGTGGGGTCTGGTGAGTGCAGGCTCCCCCAGGGGGATTGACTTTAGAGACAAGAGAGATGGAGGGGGTGGCGTGGACACGCTCCAGGGGAGAGGAAGCCTCCTCCTTTTGTGGACCTGCCCCTGAGAGACTCCCCCTGCCGGGTGGGCCCTCAGAAGGGGCTTTTTCACAGTGTTTGTAAGAAGTCAGGGCTCTGAGCAGCGGTCCCACAGTCACTTGGGGACTCTACTCATTAGTCGCAGGCTGTTAGCGGCCACGCCATGCCACACAGGCAGACACAGCGGCCGATTCTCATGCATGTACCCAGACCTTCAATTACACAGAGAGGCAGCCCCGCCCACAGGACATGAAACATTAATGCATTGCTGTAAGCACTTGACATTTATAAACGTATTTTAAGCTCAAACAACTCCTGTCATTAAACCCCTTTTAAAAATGGGGAAACTGAGGCATGAGGAGACTGAGTAACTAATTCAAGGAAGACCCCTGAGCCAGTTAGTGTCTCCCCTCCCGTGGGAGTCTCATTCTAACTGGGAGCGACGCCCGAGACGACGCAGAGGCTTGTGGATTCCCCCTCCCTGGGGAGCCCCGTGTCTGAGCTCTGTTTTCTTCAGATCACGCTGGCCACCATCGGCTACGGAGACAAGACCCCCAAAACGTGGGAAGGCCGTCTGATTGCAGCCACCTTCTCCTTAATTGGCGTCTCTTTTTTCGCCCTCCCGGCGGTAAGTGCTTCTGGGGTTCTTCCTAATGGGGCAGGCAGGATCCTTCAGCTTCACAGCCCCAGCTTCCGTCCTCTCATACCCTAACTTCCAGCCCTGCCAGCTCAGCAGCCACCCCCCCCCCAGCGGGGCTCCTGCCTCACCGCCACGGGTGGTGCTGCTCCCTTTGCCGGGAGTGACTCCCCCCAAACACCTGCTCCTCCTCCAGGACCAGTCTCAGGGCTCCTTCTCTAGGCTGAGCGAGTCGCTCCTTCCTTTGGGCACAACTCTGAGCCTGTGCTGGCGTTTCTGGCCCCGTGCTGGGGTTTCTGGCCCTGTGCTGGCATTTCTGACCCCGTGCTGGGATTACACATTTCCAAATCTGCCTCCCTGGGAGCCCGTGAGCACTTTAGGGGCTGAGATTATGTCCTTCACGCACATATTCCTGGCCCGTGTGGGTCCTTTGTATTTCTGAGTACCCTTCCCTTGCCCTGTTATCCATCAGTTTATGTAAAAAATGCATTTCCCTCAAGAATAAGCCTTGACCCATGACGGAGTAACTTCCCCAAAGCCAGTGCCCACAGGTGTAATAGTAGCAGCAATACAGGTACGGGGTGCTGGAATCACGCAGGTGCTTCACCTACACCATCCATCATCTCATTTAATCTTTGTGGCCACACAAGGAGTTCGCTGCCGCATTTATCTCCATTTTCCAGATGAGAAAACCGAGGCTTAATCAGGGGAGTAGTTTCCACAGTCCCAGGGCTCTTGGGTTGTGGAGCCAGGGATCCCAGGTCTGCTCATTCTAAACCTGGCTCTTCATCACAAAGCTCGGAAAGAAGCCCCGCACGTAACAAGTCGTCTTCCCCGCCCCTCATCCCCCGGCCTCCCCCTGCTGGTGTTCTTCCTGCATTGCCGCCCTGCTGTGTCTGTTTTCCCCGAAGCTGTTTGCCCTTGGGCACCTAGACTTTCTGAGTCTCAGGTTCCTCATCTGTAGCAGGTGAGGGGCTGTGAGGGGACGACCTGGTCTCTAAATGCTCCCTCGACTTGAAAAGGATGTGTCCCTGCCCATGTAATCCATACGAGAGTCTGAGCCGGAAATCAAAATAGATCCAATTCCAGGAAATTGCAGCTATAGTAAAAGTCTCAAGGAACAATCTGAGTAACTAAAATAGTTTTTAAGCTCCATTAACATGAACTGGGAATTTTTCCTGTGTCATACTCCTTCTTAGCAGTCCCTATTCCATTATCTCACTTTTTTCCCAAAGGTAGGAACTATTACCCCACTTCCCTGCAAGAGAAGCTGAGGTGCCGCTGATTAGAGACTTGCCCAGGCTCTCCCTGCTGGAAAGTGGCAGAGTCAGGAATCGAACCCAGCTCCCTACTGCCTGGAAGAGCAAGAAGGGATCTTTTCTCTTCCGCTTTGCTCAGATGTCATCACTGCAGCCAGGGAGTGGGGTCGGGCCCCGGGATGGTCCAGGAGGGGCTGACTTCAGGGCCCCCCTCTCCCTTCAGGGCATCCTGGGGTCCGGGCTGGCGCTCAAGGTGCAGGAGCAGCACCGTCAGAAGCACTTTGAGAAAAGGAGGAAGCCCGCAGCTGAACTCATCCAGGTCTGTCTGCCTAGGGACCCCCCGGCGTGGGCCTCAGATCCTGTGTAGCTGCGTCTGTGTGTCTGTGTGTGTGTGTCTCTGTCTGTCTGTCTGTGTGTCTGCGTGCTTGTGCAGGAGTGGGCATGCCGTCACCTGGGATGGGAACCAGGGCCGTGCCTGCCTGTGACAGTTATGGGGGTTGCTCTGGTTATCTCTATGACCTGCCTCTGTGTGCACCATCCCGCCACTCTCCCATCCCGGTTCTAAGCCAGTCAAGAAATAGACACAGAATTCAGACAGGGATCAACCCATCAGCTGTCTCACTAATGATGCTGGGGTGGAGAGCTTGGCTTGGACCAGGGTCCATACTAGGTTTCCTCTCCTTCTATTTCCCATCCCATCTTGACCTGGGAACCCATGAGGAAGAGTCAGCCTGGGTCCAGC